ATTCTATTCTATTCTATTCTATTCTATTCTATTCTATTCTATTCTATATTCTATAGCAGAGGTCTCCAAACGTGGCAACTTTAAGACTTGTGGACTTCAGCTCCCAGAATTCTCCAGCCAGCATAGCATAGTCCACAAGTCTTAAATATATGCTGGCTGGAGAATTCTGGGAGTTGAAGTCCACAAGTCTTAAAGTTGCCACGTTTGGAGACCCTTGTTCTATATTCTATATTCTATGTTCCATTCCATTCTACATTGTTTTATTCCTATTCTATTCTATTCTTATTCTTTATTCCTCCTTGCTGGATTTTTAAAAATAAAATAAAAGAAAGAATTCCCCACCCCCACCCTGCAAATCTTTATTAGAGCTCGTTTTGGTTACAGGCGACTCGCTTGCAGTCTCTCCGATGCTTCACAACCGGCCGGCAAATGGAAAGCAAAGTCTCTGAATATCAGAAGATCTTCCAGGTGAGACGTTGGCCGCCTCCCCACCATCCTTCTTCCAGGGCTGGGATCCCACCGGCAGAGCAGCCGGTTTGGGGAGCGCACGCTTTTCAGGCCTAAGGCAGAACTAGAACTCACCGCCTCCTGCTGATTGGCCCAGAGACACCCAGCCGGCTTTCATGCCTGAGGCGGTAATAGAACTCTGTCGCCTGGAGAGTTCTGGAGCTTTAACCACTCGACCGGACTGGTTCTAGGTTTATTTTATTTTATTTTATTATTTTTGGGGCGGGGGCTACTCAGCAGCCCAGGAGTGGCTGCAACAGCCACAACTCCCCACCTTAAAGTGAGGCTTTACAGATTAACAGAGTTGGAAGGGACCTTGTAGGTCATCCAGCCCAACCCCCTGCCCAAGCAGGAGACCCTGCGTACACCATTTTTGACAAATGCAGTCTTTTTAAGAGGTGTGGACGTCACCGAATTAAGTGGGGGCTCTCTTGTGCTCCCACCCCAGGCAAACAATGAGTTGCCGGTGCACCTGAAAAAGGGAACCTCCGATATGGTGATGTATCGTGCCACCATGGCTATCGCAACCTTTGGTGAGTGAAGTCGACCCTTCCCCCTCCGGGCTTTGGGAACTGAAAGGTGGGGAGGGGGCTGCAGAGGGGTGGAGTGGGGGTCATTCGAAAAGTCAAGACGTGAAGCGACCAGGACTCACAACGAAAGCAACAATGGCATCCGCTGACAGCAGACTTTTACGGGTGACGCACGGACACACGGACCCACAAACACATATAGCAGAAACCCCCCACACACACACACACACAATTCAAGGGGGGAGGCCCCGTGGAAATTGTTCTCTGGGCTCCGGCCCGTATGAATGGCCAAATTACAGGTAGTCCTTGACTTACGACGCCAGTTGAGGCCAGCATTTCCATTGCTAAGCCAGGTAACGGTTAAGTGAGCTTTGCTCCTTTTTATGACCTTTTTCGCCACTGTTCTTAAGTGAATCACTTCCATTGTTAAGCCAACCATGTGGTCGTTAAGCGAATCTGGTTCCCGTGTTGACTTAGCTTCTTAGTAGCTGGTTGGGAAGGTTACAAATGGCGTCCGCATGACCGTCATAAATACGAGCCGGATGCACCAAGCGCCCAAAATTTGGATCATGTGACCGTGGGGAATGCTGCGATGGTCGTCAAGAATGAAAAACAGCCGTTGGTCCCTTTTTTTCAGTGCTGTGACATCTCACGAAACAAATGGTTGCAAGTCGAGAACCATCTGGGTTCTAATTCAGCCTGTTGTCAACCCATCAAACATTCCTGTGCCTGTTTTAGTAGTTGCCTTTTTAAAAAAAAAGTGGGGGGGGGGAGAAAATCTGGAAGAGCAGTTGAAAGCGAAAGTACATTTGACCTCTTTATCTTTAAAAGATTGTAGCTAAACTACCAGAGTTTTCGCCTGCGAATAGAGTTAGTTGGAGAACGTGATTGATGACACCCAGTCCTTGAACAGCGCTTAGTTGGAGAATGTGATTTATGACACACCCAGGGGGGAGTGGGGGGGGGAAACAGGGTCACAGGGGACTGTAAATGACGTGGGCCAGAGTTGGCTTCATGCAGGGCAGGGCCAGGAGGTCGCCTCGAATGAACCCTTTGAAATTTTTTGAAGTTTGGCTCGAGAATCATGATTTAATTAGAGCGATTGCTAGAATCCTGACACCAACTTGGCCACTTTAAGACTGGTGGACTTCAAACTCCCAGAATTCTCCAGCCAGCAGAGTCTACTCTCTTGCAATCCCTTCCTCTGCAATCCCCCTCCGCTTTAGGAGATGAAGAGAGAAGAAAAACAGGCCTAGCTGGCTGGGGAATTCTGGGAGTTGAAGTCCGCCAGTCTTAAAAGTGGCCAAGTTCGGAGACCTCTGACAACGGATACCACATTTGTAGCTCAAGAGTTGACTCGTGGGCTCCTTGGGGCTACCTAATCTTAGTTGCTTTTTCGCAGACGTTTCGTGACCCAACGAGGTAACCTCGTCAGTGCTAGAGGGGTTTGTGCTGTCTACAGAGTTTGCTCTACAACAAGGATGCCCAACCTTGGTCAGTTTCAAACTTTTGAGGCCTGTAAACATAACTCTCTGGGGAATTCTGGGAGGTGAAGTCCACAAGTCTTAAAAGATACCGAGGATGGACACCTGTGCTCTACAGGCAGCAAACCCCACTCCTGCCGGCGCTGGTGATGTAACTTATGTATGCCAGAGTTGGCTCCATATAAGGCAGTGCCAGTAAGTCGCCTCTAATGAATCCTTTGAAGTTTGGCTCAAGAATCATGGCTTAATTAGGGTGATGGCTGGAATCCTGACGCCTGCTTTGTTCCTCTCCAGCCACTTGCTATGCCCTCTATCACATCTATCTCCTTGGAAGAATCAAGAAGCATTGAGGAGGCAGCCGGGAATGACAGGCCAGACCCTGCTGGGACCCCCCCCAACCCAATCTCACCCCCCCCCCCCCTGCTCCTGTTTAGAAAACTCCGGAAGCAGAGAAGAGGAAAACGTAGTTTGGGGAGCTTGCGAGACCAAACCAGCGAGGAACCGTGTGGAGTTTGGCTTGTTTCTTTTTCCAAAGTGTACTCGATCCCTACAACGACACGAATAAAACAAGCGCGACAAAGACCATGATTTGCCTGGACTTTAAAACCCATCACGCACGTTGTAAGTCAGAAACAGATTTAAAAAAAAGAAAAACAAAACGCGGAAAGGAAAACAGGCGCACATTGTTGAAGGATTCCACAGTGACATGTAAGCCAAGCCACATTTTCAGGGGTGGTGCCTGGGCTGGGCATGGGGAGGGTGGGGGGCTGCTGCCACTGGCTGGCCGGGGTCCTTCTCTCCATTGGGCCGTGCCAGCCTTGCCCAGTCTGGAGAGCAAGCGGCCAGCTTGGCTCTCCTCCCTTCCCTCGGACAGACCCTGGAGGAAGGGCCTGGACGGAGCCTAAATATACATTAAAGCGCTGGATTGTTGGGGTTTTGTTTTGAATGGACCCACTTCTAGCCACATCATTGGGTCGATACCCCAGAATAGATCATCCCTGTCTCTTTCAGCATTCACCCCCCCCATCCCTGTTTGGATGACCTCAAGTGTCCCACCACGGCTCTTGGCTTCCCCAAGCTCTGTAGCCTTCAGCTACAGAAACGTTTGTGGCCCCACTAAGCCAAATTGGGGGTAGGGGTGTTTATTTTTGCCACCGGGCTGAAAAATAACCATTCCTAGCTTTTTCCCCGTGGGGAATCTGGGAAGCGGCCTAGTCAGTTTCTCACCGCAGTTTCTTTCCTCTTCAACCGAGCAGTTTTTCCAGCCAGGTGGCTGCTTAATCAGCCATCTTAGCCATTAAAAGAGGGCCTGGGCGATACTGAGACAGCCCAGTGGGTCCTTGTGCCAAGGGAAACATGCACACAGAGACACAACCCCGGGGCCAAAGCTCGGGTTAGCCCCCCCCCCACTTGCCATTCGCATGGGCATATCACTTTAGCAACCTGGAAGCATGCATGTTGGTTCAGAAGACGGATGAGATTCACGCAGGAAACTTGGTTTAAATTGCTTGGATTGGAAGGCAAGGCATCCGCTCTGGAGCTGAAGACGGACAAAGTCGGTAACTCTGGTTGCATTTGGTGAAGGGGGGAGGGGGCGCAGGGGTGGGGGTGGGAGCGAGGGGCCGGAGTGGCCTCAGGCTTTCTTCAGCATCTTGGTGGTCTGGTTGTTGGCTTCGTTGATGCTGATCACATTGGCAATGGCCTGCGGAGAGAAGAAGAAGACGAAAACAAAGGAACGCTGAGCAGGGGGTTGGACTAGAAGACCTCAAGGATCCCTTCCAACTCTGTTATCCTGTATTCCAAGGGTCTTCAAATTTAGCAAATGTAAGACTTGTGGACTTCCACTCCCAGAATTCCTGAGCTAACATGACTGGAGGAGGAATTCTGGGACTTGAAGTCCATCCACCAGTCTTAAATCCAGTGCTTAGCAGGCTGGGACAGCTGTCAAGTTTAAAGACCCCTGCTGTATTCGATCTAGATCGGGGGTCTCCAAACTTGGCCCACTTGTGGACTTCAACTCCCAGAATCCCATGTGGAGACTCTGGGAGGGGAGGGGGAGGGTGCGCGGGGCCAGCCGGTGGATTCAACTACGGGTTTGGTGAACCGGATGTAAATTTAACATCCGGTTCACTCAAACCAGTCCAAACCGGTTGAATTCTCCCCCTGAACTCCAATAAATGAACAATACAGGGCCAAACAGGTCATCTCAGAGCCGTGTTGCTTCTGGCTTTCCAGCATCAACCTCCCCGCCACATCGCAGCCTCACATTCCACCCAGACAACTTTAAAAAAAAGAAAGAATCACTCTTAATTCTCAGTCATTCCCCTTCCTGTCCCCAATACATGCCTGCGTTGGCCCCCCACCCCACAAAAAAAAACCCTGATCAGTTGCCATGAGTTAAAAAAAGAATAATCGTGGCTGCAAAGACCACCGTTCGTTCCTCTGTGGCTCTTAAAAGCCCCTTACAAACGATACTGGTGGAGGAGAGAGCTTGCAATTCAGTATATCAAATTTGGCTTGTAGTTGGACTGGAGTTTCCCAACCGTGGCAACTTTAAGACGCGCGGGCTTCAACTCCCAGAATTCCCCATCCAGCCATGCAGAGAATTCTGGGAGTTGAAGTCCGCCAGGCTTAAAGTTGCTAAGACCCCTGATCTAAACTGTGGTTTTTGTTTTCGTTTGTTTCAAATTTTGCTGGGGGACCCTTAAGCCTGTGTCACTTACTCAAGGTATGAATGTGGATGCTATCGTTACGGTCCGATTGAATGGCACCTTCCTCCCGGCCAGGCCGCCTCACTCACCTTCTCTTTGATATTCTCCACCTGCTTGCTCTGGACATCAATTTCGTTGCTCATGTCCACCGCCATGCTACGCAGGTTGCTCAGCATACTGTCCACCTGGGTCAAATTCTGCTCCAGCTCTTCCTCCACGTCGTCCTTCATTATCCTGGGCGAGAAGAAGAGACGCATTCGGAGCGCATCCTCACACAAGGACGGACTCCGGGACTCTCCTAGTTAGGATTCGCAGGTGATAAAAGTTGCTCCTGTTAGCAAGACGTGACCACGACGTTCATTCTCCTCCTCTTCCTCCTTCCTGAAAATCCCACTCCCCTCTAGCATTGATATTGTTCCCTAGTTGGGTCATGAAAGGTCTACAAAAAGACAACCAAGCTCAGACAGCAGCCAGGATCCCATAGTCCTCCTCCTTCTCCTCCACATACCCCACTCCCTTCTAGCACTGATGATGTTCCCTAGCTGGGCCATGAAAGGTCTGCAACGAAACATCCAATCTCAGAGAACATCCCAGAACCCCCCAGTCTTCCTCCTCATCCTCTTCTCCTCTTCCTCTCCACAAATCCCACTCCCTTCTGGCACTGATGATGTTCCCTAGCTGGGCCATGAAACGTCTGCAGGAGAGCAACCAAGCTCAGAGAGCATCGGAGACCGCCCAGACCTCCTCCTCCTCCTCCTCCTCAGGCCCTTTGACCTACCTCTGGATGAAAGGCCCACTCATCGTCATCTGTGTCCCAGCGGTCATCATGATGGGCTGCTGTGACACCACATCCTGGGCATTGCCAGAGGCTGCCTTACTGGCCTCCATGGCCTTCATGTTCTTTAACCTGGAATGGAAAAGGAAGAAGGAAAAACCAATGCTTCGGTTGTCATCCTCGTTGGCACCATGACTAGATCTCCCTACTTGAAGACCCGGGGAGAGGGGGGGAGTCCAGGAAGGTCACAGAAGTCAAGATGGCAGCCGCCACCCTGCCTTCCAAGCATTGTCCATTTTTTTAGGCAGCCATCTTGATTTCTTTGACTTTCTCTCGCTGCCCTATGCAGACGCTTCTCTAGGAGAAAACCACGCCGGAGCCCCTTCTTCTCTGGAGGATGAGAGAGCAGGATCAATCCACGAGGGAAAGGGCAGCAGGGAACCACAAGGAGGAGAAGGAGAAGCCTCCTTATACAAGAGCAATCTATCTGCAAACACCTTGCGCTCCTTGGAGAGGGCTTGGAGAAGCAGCACCCGGGTCCAATCCGGGACCGTCTAATCAGCTGGTGTGTTGGGTAACCATGCAGGCGAGATGCCGCCGTGGCTTGCATCACACTTAACCACGAATCCTGGCTAAACCATTTCCCGCGACCACCGGAGAACTCACTTGGCGCAGGGGCAGACGAAAAGGCCGCAACACTTGGCCATGTCGCTGAGGTTCTTCTCGGCTTCCTTCATGTCTTGGATAATCTGGTCTAGGCCGTCCTCAATGCGGTCCAGCTGCTCTGAGGGGAGGAAGCGGGAGAGGGAAGACCGTGAACACGGGGACCGGGAAGGGCCCTCCCGAGGGCATCCATATGGACGTGTCCAAAGAGCCAAGGAGGAGACCATCACACAAATTTTAGGACCATTTCTTACTGTGGACGTTAAGTGAACCACCCCAGTTGTTAAGCAAATCATGCTCAACTTGAGAGCTAGAATTAATAAATTAAATTAAATTAAATTTCCACCCCTTTTTCACTTGCATGGCACCTGTCACACCAGAATTTCCGTCGCTAAGCAAGTTCAGTGAGTCACGGGAGATTTTACCACCTTTTTGCCACCTTTGTTGAGCTGCTAAGTGAGAATCATGCTGTCATTAAACGAAGCTTGTCAGAAACTGGCCAGGAAAATCGCAAATGGTGCTCACACAACCACAAAACACTGCAACCGTCCTAAATACGTGCCCTTTACCAACGTCCAGATTTTGAATCATGTAACTGGGGAATTGTAGTGGTCATAAGTGCAAGGCCTACCTCCTTAACTGATTGTGATGGGCCTGAATTTATCTTGCTTTTTTCCCATGATTTGATTTAACATGTGGGTTTAATTGTGGTTTATAAGGGGTCTCCAAGTTTGGTGACTTTAAGACTGGTGGACTTGGACTCCCAGAATTCCTGAACTGGCTGGCTGGCCGAGGAATTCTGGGAGTTGAAGTCCACCAGTCTTAAAGTTGCTACGGTCGGAGATCTCTGGTTTATAAGACTTAGGTGCATCACATAAACCATGCTTAAAGAAACTGCAATGTAGGACGAGGGGATCATCCAGCAATTTTCACACTGCCATAAATCCTCAGAATTTACCCCCTTGGTCATCCAGCATAACCAGAGTTCGAATCCCGGCATCCTTGCTCTGTTGGAAAATCAGAAATAAACAAGAATGAACAATGGCTTGGTTAGAAATCCAGAGAAACGGGCGACTCGTTTTTTCTCCCCCCACCCAGTGATCTAGTCATAAACAAGCCATTCATTCCTCCCTCGTCTCTTACCTCATCTACCAGCTGCAACATCCGCCTGGTACTTTCCAAAGACTGCCAAAAAAGAAAAAGAAAGAAAGAAAGAAAGAAAGAAAGAAAGAAAGAAAGAAAGAAAGAAAGAAAGAAAGAAGAATGCAATATTAGGAGAGAAAAACAGCCGCTGTCCTTCTGCATCATCTAAGAAAGAAGAGCGGACTAAAAGATAAATAAATCTGGTTTTTAATGAAGAATCCTGGAAACCCCATTGCAGATGCTCCAAAATTTCAGATTTTTTAAAAATAGGATTTTCTTTTAAAAAAACAGAGAGTCAGCTTCGGCCTTCTTTGCGTATTTTTTTTCATTAATTGGAAGTGAAAAATATGATGCAGAATCATCTCTAAAGCTCTCCAGCTGCTGTCAGGACGTACAAATTGATTGCAAAAGGAAAAAAAATCTGGCCGATATTTCGGCTCAACATATATATAGGCGGTCCTCGGCTTACGGCCACAATCAAGCCCGATGTTTCTCTTGCTAAACGAGACATTGGATAAGTGAATTTCTTGCTGCGGTTGCTCAGGCGAATCACCGCAGGTGCTACACTGTTTGTTTCCCTGAGTTTGCTGGTCAGACAGTCACAAGATGTGATCTTGGCACACAGCAACGGTCGTAAGTATGAAGCAGTTGCCAAGCATCTGAATGTTGATCCCGTGGCTACAGGGTCGCTACGATGGTCGTGGGTGTGAAAAACGGCCATAAGTCACTTTTTAAAATCCCATTGTAACTTTAGACCGTCATTAAATTTATGGTCGTATTTTGAGAACTATCTAGGAATGGTGCGGTGGAGTTCTCGCCTCATGATCAGGAGGCCGTAAGTTCGAATCCTAGGCAGCGGCAGATATTTCTCTCTCTGGGCACACTGAGAATTGTATCTGCTGAACAAAACTCCTCATCAGCGACAGGAAAGGCATCTGGCCATGAAAAAGACTCCGCTAGCTCTTTCAGACTCCACCAAGCAAGGGATGACGGAGGATCATTAAATGAAGATGATGTTGAGCCCTGTCTGTGTACCGTTCAGATTCTAGATTGCATTCAATCATCATGAATTTAAATGTCTGTCCAGCCCTTAATGAAATAAGCCTGGAATTTAAGGCTTTCCTTGTGGTTTTCCGTCTCTGAGGAAATTCCACTGAACGTTTCATTAGAAGCTTTTTGCTGGAGGCCTCTGCCATTAATCGGTATTTGTTCCACACGGCAGCAACGTGATGAGTAAACTATTGATTAAACTGCTGTTTAATTGCCCTGCGACTGGATGGCTTTAATTACAATTTTCTTTATTTTGCTTTACATGTATTAACAAAAAAATCTGCACCATTCTGCTGATCGAAAAATAAGGAAAGGCCAGAGGATCTTAAAGGACGGCTGAGGAGCCGTTACCCAGTTATTTGCTAGTCAGGCTACGACGTTGTGAAAGAGGAATTATTTGCAGGCTCAGGAAGCTGCTCATTCAAAGGGGCAAAATATTAATTAAACCTGCAGGAGTCTAATTGACAAACCTCCCAGCGGGTTTCCTGATCCGCCCTGAACAATCTGATCCTGCCGTTTTACGTCCTTTGAGGGTAGCGGGAGGAACCCAGACGAGCCCGGACTGGGGCAGAGGATGCCCAGGGATGAGCAGCCACCCTTGAGCCGTACGTGTCTGTCGCTGAGCAAGACAGTCGTTAAGTGAGTTTCGTCCCATTGTACGACCTTCCTTGCCCCAAGTTGTTAAGGGAACCACTGCAGTTGTTCACTTGGTCCCACGGTCGTTCAGTGAATCCGGCTTCCCCCGTTTGACTTTGCTTGTCAGATGGTCGCAAAAGGGGATCACGGGACTCCCCCAGAGATATAGCAACCGTCGTAAGTGCAAGACAGTTTGGATGTCCGAAGTTTGATCACGTGACCATGGGGAAACTGGGACATAAGTTACCTTTTCAAGTGCTGTTATAACTATGAATGGTCACTAAATGAATAGCTCGAATTCAAGGACTTCCTGTAACAAGTGGGAAATTTTGCTCCCTGGATTTTGCTTGCAACAAGCAAGCAAATGCCATAAATGGATGGATGGAGGGAGGGAGGAAGGAAGGAAGGAAGGAAGGAAGGAAGGAAGGGGAGAGGAGGAGAGGGAGGGAGGGAGGAAGGAAGGAAGGGGGGGGGGAAGAAGGGAAGAGGAGGAGAGGGAGGGAGGAAGGAAGGAAAGAAGGAAGAGGAGAGGAGGAGAGGGAGGGAGGGAGGAAGGAAGGGAAGAGGGAGGGAGGAAGGATGGATGGAAGGAAGGAAGAAAGGAAGGAAGGAAGGAAGGAAGGAAGGAAGGAAGGAAGGAAGGGAGTGCCAAGAAGAAATATGGGGCTGAACCAAGCGAGGAAGGGGCTTGGAGATTGTTGCCTGCCTTGGCAAAGCCGCCCACCTCATTGTTGATGTGGTGGATCCGTTGCTCCAGGTCTTCGGACTCGGACCCTGCCACCCTGGAGGCTGCCATGCTGGGATCCCCCTGGAGAGCGCAGAGGGAGAGGGTGCCCTTGGATGGAAAGGGCCGGCGTCTCCTGCAAGAGAAAACGTGTGTGTGTGTGTGTGTGTGTTTGTACCAAGGGGAGAAATATCTTTTGGGTAGGTGGGCAACCCATCCGTGAGATGATCTACCGCGGGGGTCTCCAACCTTGGCCACTTTAAGACTTGTGCACTTCAACTCCCAGAATTCTTCTGCCAGCTTTGGCCACTTTAAGACTTAAGGCTTTGCTGGCTGGGGAATTCTGGGAGTTGATGAAGTCCACAGGTCTTAAAGTGACCAAGGTTGGAGACCCCCTGGTGTAGGGTCTACTTGGATGGGGGGGTTAGACTAGATGACCTACAAGGTCCCTTCCAACTCTGCTAATCTGTATCTACACACACACACACACACAGAGCCCAATTCCCTTTCAGTGCCTGGTCTCTGCCTGAAAATAAACCCACGGCGACCCCGAGGGGCACAACGTGTCAGGGGCCACGCGACTCCCTTGCTCCGTGACCGGAACCCACTGGGTGTCAGTTGTTCTATATATATTCTCACTGTTTCCCCACCCCAAGAAAGGGACCCCAACCAGGGAGGACCACAGCCCACCCCCTCCCCACCCCTGTGGGCAGCCCCCTCCTCCCCGCCCACCCTCAAAACCCGAACCTCCCACACCGGATCCCCCCAAGCGTGTAATTACCGCGTGGGAAAAGCACAGCTGTCACGGGTCGGCAGCCAGGAACCGCCGCTCTCCCGCCTCCCGCCCCCAGTTTCCCTCCCCCCCCCAGCTCAGGTCTTCCCCACCTTCTGCTCCCTCCCCTCCCCCCCCTCCAGATCCCCCCCAAGAGCATCCCTGGCGAAGCTTTGCAGGCCAGGTGTTGCCTTTGTGTGCGGATCTTCTTATGCCAAGCGGCGGGCAGAGGAGGCGGGGGAGGCACAGAGCTGACCCCCTCCCCTTCCCGGCAGCCAAAGATAGCGCTTGGGGTGGGGGGGGGGAGAGCCCAGGGATGCCTCTGGAGAACAAAACCCGGGGTTGTTGCTGTCACCTTCCACAAAAGGAGAAGAGGCGGAGAGGAAAAAAAAAATTGCCCTTGTTTTTAAACTTTGCTTATTTATAAACGAAGGAAGCTGCCGGTCTCATTCCCGTAGAAGACAATAAGCCTTCGCTCCGGGGTGTGGGAAGAGAGTGATGGGCGGGGGTGAGGGGGGGGGTAAGGGGTGTGTCAACCCCCCCCTTTTTTTTGACAATTCTTCCACCTCTTACAGCAAGCCTTGGTTTGCAAACCAAGAGAAAGGAAGGGGTCTCGCTCAGGAGGGGCACCCTTGATGGGGCCCCACAGTTCTTAAGTGGGTTTTGCCCCGTTTTATGACCTTTCCTGCCACCGTTGTTAAGCGAATCCCTGCAGCTCTTCAGTTGGAGACACAGTGGAGAAGCGAATCCAGCTGCCCCATACGGTCACAAAAGGGGACTGTGTGCTCCCGGGACACTGTGGCCGTCGTAAATATGAGTCAGGTTCCAATGGAGTTTTGATCGTGTGGCCACGGGGATGCTGCAACGGTCGTAAGTGTGAAAAAACAGCCCTAAGTCACTTTTTTGCACTGCCATTGTAACTTTGGTCACTAAATGAACTGTTATAAGTCAAGGACAGCCTGTACTACAGACACATCATAAGCTGTGAGTATCTTTTCCGAGGCCCTCCTGTCTGCTCCACCAATGGCCTCGGCTAGCTTTGGCTTGACTGTTGCTTCTTTACCCTTGACAGTTATCCTAAAAAGCAGAAGCTTCCAGATTTTTATTGTGAATTCCACGGTTGTTTGTTCTACCCTAAAGCAGGGGTCACTTTAAGACTTGTGGACTTCAATTCCCAGAATTCCTCACCCAGGGAATTCTGGGAGTTGAAGTCCACGCTTCTTAAAGTTGCTGAGGTTGGAGACTGGTGGTAGATTCGAATGCCCTAATGATTTACTTCAACAACCAGTTCACCAAACTGCTGAGAAAGTTAATAACCGATTCTGGGGAACCGGTGCAAACCAGCTGAATGCCACCACTGTTGGAGACTCCTGCCCTAAAGGACCTTCAAAAAGTGTATACAAGCAGTCCTTGACTTATAACCAGTCATTTAGTGACGGTCTATTATGGCTGAGAAAAGTGACTTATGATCAGTCCTCCTTCTTACAACCCATTGCAGCATCCCCCACCGTCACAGGATCAAAATTCAGACCCTTGGTGACTGGCATGGATTTACATTCCAATGTCCTGTGATCTCCACTTGGTGACCTTCCCAGCAGACATCTGACCAGCAGAGGCCACGAGAGAAGCTGGATTCGCTTAACGGCCACATGACTCGCTTCAAAACCCCAGCAATTCACTTAAGAGCTGTGATCCAAAAGGTCGTAAACTCCGGCATGGGATGGAAATTCTGGTTTTTATTGTGGTCATCGCAAAGGTCATCCCTTTTTATTTTTTCAAGAGGCAACTGGACTTTCTGTTTTTTTCTTTGAAGACGTTTCGCTTCTCATCCAAGAAGCTACTTCATCTCTGACTGGGGGGTGGGGAAAAGAAGGATTTATATTTCCTTGGAGACAGCTGGTCGTTAGCATCCTTTTTAGGGGGTCACTGAGGCCACTTGGAGGTTTACCTGTGTCCTCAGGGTCACCTGAGTCCTGCAAATGGGTGTGGAGCCTTTTTGGAACTGCTAAAAGGACCGTGTTATAGTCACACCCATTTGCACCAGGGGGACACAGAGATAAACCTCCATGTGGCCTCAACAACCCTCTAAAAAGGACGCAAATGACCAGCGGTCTACAAGGAACACAAACTCTTCCCCACCATCCGGTCAGAGCTGAAGAAGCTTCTCGGATGAGAAGCAAAACATCTTCAAAAGAAAAACCTCCACAGACAAATTGGGGTCATAACTCAAGGACTGCCTGCCTGCCTGCTAACTTTGCCCCACTTAAAATGTCCCTCTTGGCTGCTCAGAGTCATCCTGCACTTCTCCGCTTTTCTACCTTCGAAGGGATTAAAAAAAAAAAACCCTGGGAAATTGCAAATATCTCCCAAACGGCCTTTTAAAGCTGCCAGCAGACAAAGCGAGGAGGGGGCTGCCCCATCACCTTACGTCCTGCTCTTTGCTCCCCGTTTGGAGCCCCCCCCCCTCAGGACAAAACGCAAACGCAAACGGTCTGATCAAAAGCGGTGAGCCCATCCTCCTCGCCCATCGAGACAATGCAAGGGGTTTGAAGTGGTTTTTTCCCCCCCCCGCCAGGTGTGCGCGGATTAAATTGGCGCCACCAAAGAAAAAAGGCTCTTCAGAGGATGACTGTCCGTTCCAGGCTCGCTGGGGACGGCCGCCTAATTTGGCCATTCTTTGGAGCCAGAAAAAAAGATATTTTTTTTCACGCGCCCCCAGGACCTCCGTTTAATGGAGCTGTTGAGAGTGACTCAGAGACCGAATGCGAAAGGAGGCCCTTGACGGAGCTGTGGGGGAGCCGAGAGGGAAGCGGAGGGTCCTTTGAGTACCCTTACATCAAGGGTGGTTGTTTTTTTTCCTTGCTTTCTTCTCTTTGTTCATTTCAGGAGCCCACACAGGGGTGTCGCGGCTTCCCAAGAGTCCCTCACAAAGCTGTTTCATCATGTAAGTAACCCACAACAACCCTATTAGGTAGGCTGAACTGAGAGAGAAGGATTGGCGTAAAGTCACCTGATGAGTTTTCATGGCTGGGAGGGAGACTTGAACCTGGCTCTGCTCAGATTGGTCCAACTTCTGCTCCACAACAACACTGTGGCTGCCAAAAATTCTCAACATGCTATCTGTCTGTCTATCATTTCTCTCTCTCTCGCACACACACACACACACAAACACACACCACACACACACACATCTCTCTCCTCTCTCTCCCCCTCCTATCTTTATCTGTCTCTGTCTGTTCCTCTGTCTCTTTCTTGGGTGCTATCTCACTGTCTATCTATCTATCTATCTATCTATCATCTATCTATCTATCTATCTATCTATCTATCTATCTATCTATCTATCTATCTAACTAACTAACTAACTAACCATATCTCATTTATCTACCCTATCATTCACCTATACATTCATCCTCTGTCGTGTAAATTATCTGTCTATTTGTCTATCTCTGTCTGTCTGTCTGTCTATCATCTATCTATCTTATATTACAATCTATCTACCGCTATCTAACTGTACCTATGATCTCTGCATCTGTTATCTCTCTGTCTGTCTCTATTTCTCCATCATCTATGTTATTTGTCTGTCTTGTATTTGTTTCTATCTCTGTCTATCATCTATTATCTATGTCTCTGTCTATATCTATCATTTATCTATTGCTATATCGATCATGTATAATCTATCTCTGTCTATTTATCATTTATTATCTGGATCTACCTACCTATCATCCATCCATCCATGCATCCATCCATCTATCTAATCTATCATCTCTATGTATCATTCTCTCTGTCTTTATATCTATCTATCTATCTATCTATCTATCTATCTATCTATCTATCATCTATCATGTATTAAATCTATATGCTGCTCAGCTCATTCTGCAAAGTGACTCCGGGCAGTTTTGGTTCATTCCATCATTGTTTATTAATGGCCTTTTGTCTCCATTAATTTGTCCAGACATCCTCAACCTGCAGGACTAGGATTATAGCAGACCCCAACCGTCCCTGCAACTTGGCTCAATCTGCTCGGGACAAACTGCCTTATTTCGTTCCAACTCGTTGCACCCTTTTTGGGTGGCGCAGAGTTGGTTTTGGAGGGTGTTTTATTTTATTTTTTTATTATTTTTATTTTATTTTTATTTTATTTTTTTTGCATCAGAGAAATGCATTTGAGCAGAGAGCGTTCCCTGTCTAACTACACCCCAACTCGTGAAAATGTATGCCACGAATCCAGAAGGGTACCTAAGTATAACGAGAACATGCTAACTTTGTTACCGGCACCATCTGCTTAAGAGACCTTCTCTTT